TTTTTTTTTTTTTTTTTTTTTTTTTTTTTTTTAGGGAAAGCATCCTCACGTGCCTCTCACCCTCCCCTTCTAATCTCTCTATTATTACTTTGTTGGTATGACTAAAACCTATTTTTATAATTTTGCCAACAACCAGCAACTTGTTCATTTGTAGGGGCACCCACAGTTTTCCCTCCACATTTCAACCATAAAAACCCTATCCCATTATGTACCGAAGAGTGGGGATGCTGGGTCCTAAAGGAGGTGGATTGTGAGATCCCACATCGGTTAGAGATGGGAACGAAACATTTTTTATAAGGGTCTAAAAATCTCTGTAACGAACCCAATTTTCGAAATAGTTTTCCTCGGTTGAGTCGTGATGGAAGAGACTTATTGTGAACAGAGACCAGACATGAGTGATGCAATTGGAGACTTATAGGGTTTTGAATTAAGGAGAGTAAAGGAGAAGCAAGCAAACCATGCATGTTGTGTGGGACCAAATGGATGACTTATTTCATAATGTGTAAACCCTATTTTTATGTTCCATGGTTCAGTAATCTCCTTATTTAGTTAACTTGAAAATGGGTCCTCGTGGGTAAGCCATGCATGCGAATATCCAAGAACAATGAGTACCCTTTGGTTTGAAGGAAATTTATGGTTCAACTTGGAGTTAATTACTGAGTTTTTAAATTAACCATAATTACTTTTACCTTTTTTTTACCCTAATCCCAACCTCCCTTTAATTTTGGTAGTGGGAAGAGGCATGATCCCCGACAAATCAATCTCCAAATTGCATTAATTTCCCTACGCTTTTTGTATGATTAATCATAATAATAAATCCATAAAATTAGTTAGTTTTTGGTTATGGAAATTAATATAACGAACCTTTCCGACATGCAAATTAATGATGTCTAAGCATGCACCTTTTTTATTTATTTCCACTCATTTCTTTTAACTATGGATAACCTAAATTAGTTTATGTTTTTAATATATATATATCTTCTCAAACACATAAAATCCGCAGCCTTACGTTTCGCCTTAATTTACTTCCACAATTTCTTCAACAATCCCATGTTGTTCTCTTTGACCAAATCTTATACATCTCCATACNGTCCTATGAAAATGAAGTTGGCTGTAATATTTTTGCTGGCTACAAATATCCCAATGGGTTTGTACATGAGTTTGGTTCATCAGGTATCTATGTTGGCTAATGAGAGTAAAAAGAAAAATTCAAAGTTGGTTGTGTTTTTGTTTCTTCTGCTCTATTATCTAACCAGAAGATATACTGTGCAGAGAGGAACAGAGGATGTAATGAACCATCTGGCTAAAGAAGCCGTGTCTGAGAAAGTCAAAAGCATCCTTTTTCTGATGCCCTGCCATTCGACGCCATACTATTCGACTCTGCACCGAAACTTACCAATGCGGTTTCTAGACTGCACACCAAGGTGTGTAAAGCCTTTTTTGTTTTTTTTTTTTTTTTTTTTTGTGGGATCTAACTGTAATAGCTTAACCTCACCATGAGTAATATCGTTCGTTTTGACTTGTATGATTGTCGGCTACACGAATTTAAAATGCACTGTTAGGAAGAGATTTTCGCATTCTTATAAGGAATACTCCATTCTTCTCTCCCACCGACGTGGGGTCTCACCCTCGTTTCATTCAAACATGAGAATATCGAGATACAATGTAAATGGGTGTGGTTAGGTTAGTTTGAAGGTTTGTATAAAGTGGTCAATTCGATCAATTGAAGGAGTGTGGGGTAGGAGTAAAAGAAGATCTATTGGGAAATGATTAAACAAAGAAGGAAAAGAAAGAAAAAAAAAGGAGGAAATCTTTTATGTTTGGTTGTTTTTGAGTTGAGAAGGAGGAGGAACTGTAGTGTAAAAGAGGGTTTAGGGTTTGAAGAATAATGATCAAATCACCGACGTTTGATTAATGGGATGGCCAAAGGAGTTGAAGCCAAACCAAACAATAATAATTGAGAATGGTAAGGCTTCTTCCTCATTAGTGTTACCATTTTCTTTCAAGCCCTGAAATTAAGGCGTGCTTATGCTTAAACTTTACCCAAACACTTATGTTCTAAGCTTTTTGTAAACATTCTTCATGTAGCCTCCGCCTCCTCAACAATCTGATCACCCTCGACCTTAATCGTTCATATAGTCTTAAAAATTCACTACCGTTTTTAGTTTCATCTTTCAAATTAATTGAAACTCGAACCAACTTAAGATTTTGTTTCAAAAAAGCAATCATACATGCATATTTCTCCTAAGGAGCCTCAATCTTTCCTTGAGGATTCTCTGATTGATTGTCTACATTAATGGGAACGAGACACTGACTCATAGTTATATACTCACTAGTGTAACTATTTGAAGTAATCAATGAGTTGTTTCTCAGTAACCATTAAAGAAATGAAAGCTGAGAAGATTGATCCAAATCCCACGAACCCTTATCAACAAAATAATGAGTAGACTCTCTCGACAGATTCTGAAATTTCTAAGAACCCTAACCAATGGGTCATAGTCACATTAACCTAATTCACAATCACATGATATACGTAATCAATAAACATACAATTTAATTCCCAACACAAAAATCAATGAAAGCTCCTCATCGAACACAAAAACTTTGACTTTTTGGTCATATAGGTGTGATTAAAATATGGGCTGGGCCCAATATATATATATATGGAGGCTGCTTTTATTTGTGAGCAGGCTAGCCCCTGGATTTTGAATAGACAAGTCATTAGAAATGGGTCTATCATGAGAAGAACAAGCTAACCAACACTGTTTTTCATCATGTCTAAATCAAACCATAAATTGTTTCAAACATTAGAGATATATGAGAAGAACACAACAAAAGAAAAGAAAAAAAAGGAAAATTGTATTGCATGATTAATTTGTCGGTTTTGATATGAGAGTTTGTGTGGTTTTTATGTCATGATGAGGTTGTACGGCCTCATTTACTGCTGTTTTGTGTTGGAGAAAAGGAGAGATTGATGGGTTTCTTCGATGCGACTGATCCTTAACAATGTCTTTCAATCTTTTTCTAACACCCTTTGATTAGGGTTTTAAAGGGTTGGTTATGTACTTCTTAAAGTTTCAATCTTTTTTTACTATTTTGATGCAAAAAATGAACCTTTAAGGATTTGAGAGTGGAGAGCAGCTTTGATATCATATTATGGATGAGAAACAGAGGTGAGATTGAAAGTCCAAGAACCATGGTATTAAAATATCATTCTTAACATGATTTCAGGGTCGAAGAAAAGGAAGAACAGAAGAAAAGTGACGAACAATTTATTTACGATAAGTATGGTAGAAGCTTTGGGTGTGCAATTTGCAAGCTCAAAATGAAGTCAAATTCAAAGAGGGGCAGCGCCATGGCGCTCACTTATAGTCCCATGGCCCTCCAAACTTTAGCATCTGTCTTAGGTTTATACCGTGCCATGGCGCTTCGTGGTGTTCCTCCCTCAGGTAATTGATTGTAGCCATTGTGGAAGGGGCCTTTCTTTTCGTTTATTATGGATTTTAGGTGGGCTTCCAATACGTCTCTGCAATTTAACAATAGTGATCTTTGCTATTGAGTAAAAATAAGAGCTGAACTTGACTGTTGTTGGGTCACAATTCACCACATCCGAGTCGTCCGGCACTGTCTTTGGAAACCATGGCTGAGGACCCTATTCGAGCCTCTTCGAGCCTGCCTTTGATGCTCACAATGACTTGTTGTCTCTAATATTGATTATGCCTTAGCATAGCTTTCACA